GCTGTGCTCTAGCTCCACTAAATCAGAACCCCTAGGAGTGGTTCTTGTGATCAGGGAAGCCTAGGAGACAGTAAATTGCAGACATCTAAGTTCCTCCGAAAGAGACAGGGAAGGAGGGGCGATGAGGGATGGTTGAGCTGAAACAGGACACTGGTATTTTCTGTCCTGCTGAATGAATGCTGTTCCTAAAAGGGTGCTGGATAGCAAAGCCATTTCTGTATCTCTGCTGATAATAAAATAGTGCACCGTGGGTCTTGTAATAATGAGTCTTCTGCAAGAAATAGATCCAACAGTAACAGATCCTTTTTCCAGTGTTTGTGCACGTAGCAGTCACTTTTCATAGTGAGGAAGAAAAATCAGACTTGAATTGGATGTGAGCTATTTGCAGTTTTGACTGGCTGACCTGACATTAAGTAGCAACAGTTTTTCATCAGTTCTCACTCCTCCCCTTTAAGGATTTATATATATGTGTACATATACATCTACAATTTATATATAAGATATGTAATGTATCATATGTAAGATATATAGATATACATCCACATGCATCTAAATCCAAAAAACAAACCCACCTCCTAGCCCTGACACACAGAAAGGTCTACCAGGACAGCAGCACACCGAGCAGGAGCAGCATCTGAGTTATTTTGAAACCAGTGCAGTAATCAGGTGTCTGAGCCCTTTGGGTCGGCTAATTAGTGGCAAACTTAAAAAAAAAAATGTTTTAAGTGTTGAAATTTGTCTTTCTAACAAAATGTTACTCAGAAATGCAACACATAAGACAGAAAAAGCAGAGCCACTCTGGTTAGACTGTGGATGGACAGGAGAGAACAGAGTGCTACGGTGCCATCCTCACCTCTAGGTCATGCCCATGAGATCCCAACAGTTCTAAGTACACGGATGAAAGCCACCTATGAGGTCCAACTTCATTCTACACTCGCGGCAACTCACAAGATCCAGAGATGAGTGGTGTGGCCACCTGTTTTCCTGATTCCTGGACCGGTGCTGTTCTGCAGTGCCAGGTCCCTTCCCCTCTTCCACACACCCCACACATCTCATAACAAAATGCCCTACAGCACCATGGGCCTGCCCCATAGAGTCGTTCAGGGAGTACTACTGTTTTGAACTGAAACAAACGTGCACATTGGCCTTCCTCTCCACACATGCTGCTCTATATCAAGCGTGCCCTGGTCCTGTCTGCAGTCCTTTTCATATACCTAATACCTTATACCATATGCCTAAGGCACTCCATGCCTAATCTTGACCAAAGGATGAAAACAACTTGTGAAATTGAGGTGCCACTGCAGACGTATTCAGCTGGGAGTCCAATTAACCTTCTGCCTCCTCAATTTCCATTTATCCATCAATAGTTCTCAACCCAGTTGCATAATAGAGTTGAGCTTTAGAATAAGAAAGACCTATGCCCACGCGCCCTCCCCACAGCTTCTGATTTGATTTGTCCAGGGTGAAACCCAGGCATGGTACCCAGAGAGTCTACCCAGATGCTTCTAAAGTACAGCCAGCATTGCAAATTACTGAGCTACTGGAATAGGTGTCAGAGACAACCAAAGGTTTTACTCATAAGGTGTTTTTAAGGAAATCATTGCATTAACTGATTGCTGTATGAATGAAGTCTTCGTATATAAATGTATTATTATTAAGGACTATCCCAAGTATCTCTGAAACATTTGGACGCTACCTCATACACTGCCGTTCTAAAGATAAGCCCTGAATTGCTCAAAAAAGAAAACATCACTAACTCTTATGCTCACTTTCAGATTTACAATGTCCATTACACCATGAGTATCAATGGGAAATTACAAGATGGGTCAATGGAAATAGACGCTGGGAACAACTTGGAGACCTTTAAAATGGGAAGTGGAGCTGAAGAAGCAATTGAAGTTAATGATTTCCAGAATGTAAGTATATTTCATGCATTTACAGAGTTTAACCAGGCAAGCCTGGGGGACTTTTCTAATTCATGGAGAAGCAGCATTTCTCACACACATCCAAACGGTAACTGTTCTTTATAGCAGCTGTAATGCCACTAATCCACATACGTCATATAGCATATTCTCTTTGAGAAAGGACCAAACTTTGTCCTTCATATTTGCGAAAGAAAAAACAACACTTCAGTTGTAAAATACCAAAAACAAAAAGAACCACCTTCATTGAATTCGTGTACATAAGGATTTAGCTGTTTTGAAAAAATTTTTTTACTTCTAGGAAATTAAAGGTATTTCCTGGAAATCAAAATAAAACTTGATTTTTAAATGTGGGAAAAAAAAAAAAACCATAGCACTGAAAAGAACAAGTTCTTCTTAGAATTATATAAAGTCTTGGCAGAAAGACTTGAAGGAGCTACTTCTTTTCAAGCGAATTTCTGTAACATGATGAATGAAATGCTCAAAACTATCCAAGAATGTTGTGAGATTTGAAATTTAAATTTCTGAAGTAGAGGGAAATTTTAATGACCTAATAATCTCATCAGCAACAAGTGGGATCTATTTACATACTTTTCTCAATTCCGATTTCCTATTTAATCCGGAAAATTACCATGAGCAAATTCTCCTATTATAGCATATGTTTTCTGACCATAGCATATTAGAGATAAAACATGCACACCTCCTTTGAAGAGGAGAGACTATTTTGTTTTGATTTTTTAACAAAAATTTCATTTACAGGCAATTTGAGACATTAAGCTGTGCAGCAATGTTTCAGTGTACATCTGCAAACCAAAGTGTCACTCCAGGCCGAATTTCCTGTTGGTCAACATAAATTTTTTTTTTTTTTTTTTTTTTTGAGATGGAGTCTCGCTGTGTTGCCCAGGCTGGAGTGCAGTGGCGGGATCTCGGCTCACTGCAAGCTCCACCTCAAGGGTTCACGGCATTCTCCTGCCTCAGCCTTCTGAGTAGCTGGGACTACAGGCGCCTGGCACCACGCCCTGCTAATTTTTTTGTATGTTTAGTAGAGACGGGGTTTCACCGTGTTAGCCAGAATGGTCTCGATCTCCTGACTTCGTGATCTGCCCGCCTTGACCTCTCAAAGTGCTGGGATTACAGGCGTGAGCCACCGCGCCTGGCCTGGCCTGGCCTGGCCAACATATATATTTTATGCCCTTTCATGTTTTACGATGAGGAAGAGGCATTACTATTTGTGTTCTCCTGTTAAATCTGCAGATGGAGTAGGTGAAACTTCATAATGAAAAAAGACTCTTGAAAATAATGTCTCTTCTGATAGTTTATTGGTCCACAAACACCTCATCGACCCATCTTCCTCTGATTGATGAGAAAAGCTAAAGATGCTTTTCATTTGAGTGAAAGCACTCCTCTTGTTGGTACCAAAATATACCTCATAAGTCCATTTGAACACCCAACAGATGCTAACATTAGAGCTGCTGTGATGTTAGATATTATTTGATCATGACAAGGACTGACTGACTATGTTCAGAATGATCTCTGCCCTGGGGACAGCCTCTGCAGCTCTGTATGTGCCCAGCTGCACTTTGTTTAGTCATAGCTTTGCAAATGATTCTGGTCAATGCACACGTATAATTTCTCTGCACTTATTAAAGGCTTTTACTGCAAGACACAGGATAGGGTAAAATCATTTTTTCTTTGTACTACTCAATATAAACTAATAAAATGTGACTCCCCAACACACATTATTCAATCCAAAAATTGAATACCCGTGGTATGCCACAATATTAAGATATGCAAAGGTAGCTACAGAGATGAATAAGAAAAGATTCATCTTTCTTGAGATGTTCATGTATCAAAAATATTCTTTTAACATATTTTAATCCCAAACCTGTATTTCTGTTTTATAATCCTTTGGTTCTTTTCTAATAATGGTATCGATTGTGTTTTGTCCTTGTAGACCAACAGGGCCACAGATATTTTATAAACTGATCAATTCCCTTTGATAGCTTCCACATTTCTCTAAGTCAGAACTGGTGAGTAGAACATTTTTTTGATGGATAGAACCTGTTGTGGGTTTAAACAAGCCTGAACTTTTGAAAACACATGAATCAGTCACTATGGTACCTACGCTATTGCTTTCTCCTGTATTTTGAATCAACAGTCAAATTCAAGAAGCATTTATTGAGACATACTGTGTGCAAGGGATGGTGCTAAGCAGGGGGAATGCAAAAATGATTGACCCTTCCCTCAAGGACCCTTCAGTTCAGTCCAGGAGGCAGACACACACACAGAAACAGCTTCAGGTTCGCCTGGAAAATGTGTTCCAATGGGCTATGAACAGAGAGGAAACATCCTTGCTGAAAAGGGGACTGGAGCAGGTCTTACAGAGGTGGTGATGGCCAAATCAGGTCCTGAAGAATGATTAGGATTTCAACCGTCAGACAGGTAGGGGAAGGCTCTCCAGGCCCAGGGAAAAATAGTGAACACGAATGTGCAGGCTTGTTCCAGGGTTCTAATTCTAAGTAGCCCAGTTCAGCCCAGCTTGGGGAAGGAAAGAAGATGGGGATACAGGTGGGGCTAGATCATAAGAGGTTTTGAATTGTAAATGAACAGTCTCCCCGGTTCATCCAGGACCCCACCAAGATTTTAGTAGAACCCAGTGGGAAAAAACAACCCCCAGGGAAGGATAGCACTGAAAAAAGTGCTCCAGGCTCTCCACCCTGAGAGATAGAAAAGCCAAGTTCATTCAAGCTGTGTGAGTTACATTCCAGTTATACTCTCACAAACACCAGCGCTGTGCTTTAAGCCAACACCCTTAGACTGAATGCCCCATTTATATAACAGAAAGCCTTAGAAATTGAAAGAAAAAACTGATGAGTATATGGGTGTTCACTGTATAATTCTTTTAATTTTGTGAATATTTGAAATTTTTTACTTAAAAAGCTAGAGAAAGTAAAGACAGCATAACCTATCAATTCAGCCTCCAACTACAAGGTAAAGGAAAAAGAAAATGAAACTAATTTATATTAAAAATATGGACTTCATATGTAAATGTTCAGCCAGATGCACTAAAAGACATAAAGTCAAATACTTATAGTATAGTAGTAGTTGAATGACTGTCAGTGCCACAGCCCAAAATGCAGACAGACACAAGTGTGTGTTGGCAATTTAAATGCTATGTAATTTTCTCAAACAGTGAAGAAAAGCACTGTTTTCTCTCCATTTCACAGTAATTGCATTCCTAGGAAATTTGTTGTACATTAAGACTATGCCAAAAATTACTTTGTGTATACATATAAAACAACATTGAGTGCTAGGCACTGATATTTACAAACAGGTTTTTTTTCCTCCAACCCAGGACAATTAGTTCTTCAGGACTGTCCCAGGCTCTGCAGGACCTGACGTCCCTGGGCCCTGTGCAGTAAAGGTCAGGAGTGCCCCCAATCTTTGTGACAACAAAAAACTCCTCAAAGGATTTCTAAAGTGCTGTCTTGGGGACAGGAACTCCTACCATCCTTGGGAACCTCTGGTTTAAGCCATAGAAGTAGATAGATGAGATACTTTAGAAAGAAAAAAACGTGCAGCCAAGGTAAGATTACCTCACTCTTTTGAAAAAAGAATGTTAGATTCTTGGACTCTTCACTCATCACCATTGCTAGCAAATTTCTTCATTACCACTAGCTTCTAAAGCCTGTTTGTTTGCAAAAACAGAAGGTTTGCTTGGCTTTCTTGTGCTTCTTTCAGTTCCCTCTACTTAATCTCTTAATATATCTGGCTGCTTGATGTGGAGTTTTAGCTAGACATGGTGGTAAATATGTGTGAATTCTTTCCCACACTTCCCACCCCATGGGGGTTTCAGTTCTCGCTGAGGTGTGTCGACTGTCAGAACCAACTTAATACCAGATTCCCATTCAGGGCTGTGAATCCTTCAGTAGAATCAGCTCTCCCCTTTGGGGATATCGTGACGGTTGTATAGCGTTCCCTCCACACATGTCACATTCAGGGGATGTGTCTGAAGTTAAGAGAAAATGTCACATAAGGAGAATCATCTCCCTCCCTGCCTTCTGTTTTTCAAACTATGAGTCCTAAATTTACATGCCAAATAAGAGCAGTGGCCCTACAGGAGGTAGCATAGAGAAAGCAGTTATTCTCCACGTGTATTCCTCAGGCTGCCAGTGGAGCATCACTGGAAGGCTTGTTAGAAATGCAGATTTTAGGCCCCACCCCAGACCTACTGAATGGGAAACTGGGGGTGGGGTAAAACACTGTTTAATTTAACAAGTCCTCCAAGTGATTTTTTTTTTTTTTTTTTTTTTTTGAGATGGAGTCTCGTTCTGTTGCCAGGCTGGAGTGCAGTGGTGCGATCTTGGCTTACTGCAACCTCCGCCTCCTGGGTTTAAGTGATTCTCCTGCCTCAGCCTTCCGAGTAGCTGGCACTACAGGTGCACGCCACTATGCCCAACTAATTTTTGTATTTTTAGTAGTGATGGGGTTTCACCTTGTTGGCCAGGATGGTCTCCATGTCTTGACCTCACGATCCTCCCGCCTCGGCCTCCCAAAGTGCTGGGATTACAGGCATGAGCCACTGCGCCCCGCCCAGGTGATTTTTTAATTTGCCTTTTTAAAATTGTTACATAATATTTTATATATTTATGGGTTATATGTGATATTTTGTTACACGAATAGAATGTGTAATGATAGGGTATTTGGTTTTCATTTCTATGTGTTGGGAACAAGTCCTCTCTTATAGCTGCTTTGAAACATATAATAATATACTGTTGCTAACTATAGTCATCCCACTCTGCTATTGAACATTAGAACTTACTTCTTCTATCTAACTGCATGTTTGTACCACCCATTAACCAACCTGTCTTCATTTCCCCAGCTCCACCCATATACCCTTCTCAGCCTCTGGTGTCTATCATTTTCTGCTTCCATGAGATCAACTTTTTTAGCTCCCACACAGGAGTAAGAACATGTGACATTTGTCTTTCTGTGCCATTTGTTTTTCATTTAACATAGTGACCTCCGGTTCCATCCATGTTACTGCAAATGACATGATTTCGTTCTTTTCTATGACCAAATAGTATTCCATTGTGGATATATAGATATATATACCAGTGATCCTTCTCCCTTCCAAGTAGCTGGAACTACAGGCACACACCACCACACTTGGCTAATTTTTAAATTTGTTTTGCAGAAATGGGGTCTCACCATGTTGCTCAGGCTGGTCACGAACTCCTGGGCTCAAGCAATCCTCCTGCCTCAGCCTCCCAAAGTGTTGGGATTAGAGGCATAAGACACTATGATTGGCCCTTTTTAAATCTTTTTTCTTTATTTTTGTCTGACTGGGTTATTTCAAAAGACTTGTCTTCAAGTTCTGAGATGCTTGAAATAGTCTATTGTTGAATCTTTTTTTTTTTTTTTTTTGAGACAGAGTCTGGCTCTCTTGCCCAGGCTAAAGTGCAGTGGCGCTGTTTCAACTCACTGCAACCTCCACCTCCTGAGTTCAAGCAATTCTCCTGCCTCAGCCTCTCGAGTAACTGGGATAATAGGCATGCACCACCATGGCCAGCTATTTTTTGTTTGTTTTTTTATTTTGTATTTTCAGGAGAGACAGGGTTTTGCCATGTTGGCCAGGCTGGTCTCGAACTCCTGGCCTCAGGTGATCCACCTACCTTGGTGGTGGGATTACAGGCGTGAGCTGGGATTACAGGCGTGAGCCACTGTGCCTGGCCTCTATTGTTGAATCTTTTAAGTGTATATTGTATTTAATTCAATGAATTCTTCAGTTCCATAATTTCTATTTGGTTCTTTTTTATAATATACATCTCCTTATTAAATTTCTCATTCATATTCATATTAAATTTCTCAATCCTAAATTTTCTGATTTGTCATGTTTTTCAGTATTCTCTTGTATCTCATGGAGCTTCTTTAATATCAATATTTAAATTTTTTTATGGGATTTAATAAATTTGTTTTTGATTGCGATCTGTTGCTAGAGAATTATTGTATTCCTCTGGAAGTGTCATATTTTATGGCTTTTTCATGCTTCCTGTGTCCTTGTGTTGATATCTGTGCATCTGATGTAATAGTTGCTTATTACAGTTTTTTAAATTTGCTTTCATGGGGTGGACTTTTGGTGTTGGGTAGGTAGGGCACTTAGGCTTTGATTCTGGGTGCATGCAGTAGTATACTCTCTGTATTTTTTTTTTTTTTTTTAGCTGTAAGCAGCATCAGTGGTGTCTGTGATTTTCCTTGGTGGCATAAGGTGTGGTTGTTAATGAAGACTTCTGAAGTTTTGCTGGGGACCCAGGGGATTTTTGATACAAGGGAAGGTTTGTGAACCACTGATAAAAAGAAACTTGGGTCCAAAGGTTATTGCAATCATGTTAAAAGCTTTGTTACCTTGAATACCTTTCCCTTTCATATGGTAGTCTTCAACCCTGGCATCAACCCTTTAAATTATAAACACCTGGGGAGTTTTTAAGACTACCATTACCTGGGCCCCAAAGCAAACCAATCAAATGGGAATCTCTGGGAAGGGGCACAGGCATCTGTGTTCTTAAACCCTCTCCAGTGAATTCAAGTGCAGTGAGAGCCAAGCCTCAGCAGTGAGCCTCGGAGTTCCTCCCCTTCTGTAAAGTGGGGATAATGCCCCTGTCTCTCTCTGAGTGAGCAGTAGTGCTGGGAGAAATAGGTGAAATGAGTTACATATGTATGCATGATTAATTAAGCCAAATAATAAAGAGCTTGAGGAAGAATGAGCCTTTTCTTCCGTGTTCTGCAGTCCTTTACTCACCAGCTTCTGTAGGACTCCTGGCTCTGGGACTGCATAAGGTAGAGCTATCCATGAATTCCCTCCAGCATGACTTACATTTAATTTTCTTCTTCATTGTAAAGGGCTGAATCTTGAGCCAGGATCCCTACATTTTAAGTGTTTTCTTCCCCCATTCCTTGTCACTGGACCTGGTACCATTTCTATATCATCCCAACACTTGCCTCAACTCAACAGAGGACTGATAAGGTTCAGATTTGTGCTAGTATCTCCATTATTATACCATAAAAATTGTAGGCCTTTAATATTATTTTAGGTTCACTACTCCTGAAACTAATAGCAGCAGGGGAGAGTAAACATTCTTGGGACAGAACGTCCTGTTACCCATCATGTCCTCTGTGGGTAGAACCGGGGCTGTGCTGTCAGCCAAGACTGGAGCTTTGAGGTTGATGTTTCCCTTGAGGCAGGTTTTAGGCAGACCAAGAGAAGATATTGTTTATATCTCTCAGGAGACAAAAAAAAAAAAAAAAAATTCGAGTCCTTGGGTAAGGTATAGAAGGAAAGTTCAGGACCAGGTGCTGTAAAAAGTTTTACTGTTTACTCTGGGCTCAGTAATTTAGGAAAATTCTGAATTCATAGAATTAATTAATTTGACCAACATCTTTCGAGAACCTTTGTGGGGTCACCAAAAAAGAAAACAAAAAAGATTCAAATACTGATCTCAAGAAGCTTATAACTAAGTAGGCTATGTATAGTTGAGTAATTATCCCAGTTGAGGAATGAAGAGGGGAGGACTTATGGGAAAGCAGAGGAAAGATAGCTGCTTAGGCTGAGATGTTCAGAGAAGGCTGCATGGAGAAGGTGGCATTTCATCTGAGCTTGTGAATATAGATGGAATAACTAACATACTCTGTCCTAGCTCAAATATCATCCCCTCACTGAGTCACCTCCCCTGAATATGCTGTCTAAATTACCACCTCATCATTCCTGTCTTATTTTTCATCATAACAGTTATTACCTGACTTTATCTCTGTTTTTGTTTGTTTGTTTTTGTTTTTTTGAGACAGAGACTTGTTCTGTCACCCAGGCTGGAGTGCAGTGGCTATCTTGGCTCTCTGCAATCTCTGCCTCCCAGGTTCAAGAGATTCTCCTGCCTCAGCCTCCCAAATAGCTGGGGTTACAGGAGCTCGCTACCACACCCCACTAATTTTTGTATTTTTACAGGGTTTCACCATGGTGACCAGGCTGGTCTCAAACTCCTGACCTCAGGTGATCTGCCCGCCTCGGCCTCCCAAAGTTCTGGTGGCATGAGCCACCGTGCCCGGCTGTTTTTGTTTTTTTGTTTTTTTGTTTTTGTTTTGAGACAGAGTCTGGCTCTGTCGCCCAGGCTGGAGTGCAGTGGCGCAATCTTGGCTCACTGCAAGCTCCGCCTCCCAGGTTCACGCCATTCTCCTGCCTCAGCCACCTGAGTAGCTGGGACTGCAGGCGCCCGCCACCTCGCCCAGCTAATTTTTTTTTTTTTTTTTTTTTTTTCATTTTTAGTAGAGACGGGGTTTCACCGTGTTAGCCAGGATGGTCTTGATCTCCTGACCTCGTGATCCACCTGCCTCAGCCTCCCAAAGTGCTGGGATTACAGGCTTGAGCCACCGCGCCCAGCTGCTCGGCTGTTTTTTATTATTGGTAAATAATGCTAAAAGGTAAGTTCCATCAGGACAGTTCCATCTCTTTTGTTCATCCCTATCCCCAGCACCCAGAACAGCATCTGGAACACAGTAGACACTCAATAAATGGAATAAATGAACAAATGGATAGATAGATGGATACACTTTTGTTTCACAGGGCATCACAGGAATTCGTTTTGCTGGAGGAGAGAAGTGCTACATTAAAGCGCAAGTGAAGGCTCGTATTCCTGAGGTGGGCGCCGTAACCAAACAGAGCATCTCCTCCGAACTGGTGGGTACCAACATGCCTGAGACAGTGAGACTGCTTGGCAAACATTGTTTGAAGGCACAACCCTTTCGGTTTTTATTTTTTGTTTTTATTTTTATTTTTATTGAGACAGAGTCTCACTCTGGAATGTAGTGGCGCTTTTGGCTCACTGCATCCGATTCGCCTGTCTCAGCTTTCCAAGTAGCTGGGACTACAGGCACGCCACCACGTCCAACTCACTTGTATTTTTAGTAGATACGGGCTTTCACCATGTTGGCCAGGCTCTTCCTGAACTCCTGGCCTCAAGTGATCTGCCCGCCTCAGCCTCCCAAAGTGCTGGGATTACAGGAGTGAGCCACCGCGCCCAGCCTAAAGGTACAACCCTTTTGGTTTCTAGTATCTGGATAGGTTCATGACTAGATCGTAAATTCTATTTCTTCTCTGCCAAAGGAATTGAAACTGTTTTTGTCCTACTGGGGTCAAGGGATTCTTCTCACATGATATAGCATATTTAAACGTTTTGGGAAGCCACATTTTAAAGTGCATAAAGGGGCTGGGTGCTCATATGGCCTTATTTGCCTGCGGTTAGGGAACTATCTGGTCTGTGGTTAAGACTCCACAATAGAGGCAGGCATGGTGGCTCACGCTGGTAATCCCAGCACTTTGGGAGGCTGAGGTTGGCAGTTCATCTGAGGCCAGGAATTTGAGACAAGCCTTGACAACACAGCAAAACCCTGTCTCTACTAAAAACACAAAAAATTAGCTGGCCGTGGTGGTGCGTGCCTATAGTCCCAGCTACTCAGGAGGCAGAGGTGGGAGGATCACTTGAGCCCAGGAGATTGAGGCTGCAGGGAGCTAAGATTGCACCACTGTACTCCAGGCTGGGTGTCAGAATGAGACCCTATCTCCCCAAAAAAAAACAAAAACACACAAAAAACAAAAAACAAACAAAAAAAACCCAAAAGAGACTCCACAATAAAGACAAAGGACTCCACAAGGTAGAGTCTTCATTAAAGGGACCCACAATAGCGAATCACACAGCCTCCACTGGAAAGCAGCCACAGGGCACTCATCCCCCATCCCAATGCCAGCCAGCTTCACTGAGGGTAGTTCTAATTGTTTTGCCCTACATTAAGCTGAGATAGCTCCTCCTACAACTTCTTCCCACTGGTTCAGGTTCAGCCCATTGAAGCTACACAACATATATCCAATTCCTTTTCTATGTGTCAAACCTGTGAGGTTTTAAAACATGTTTCTTTCATTTATTATTAATAACTTGCCTTTGAGCTTGATTTTTTTAAAAATTTACTTTAGGAATTGCATACAGTGTTCTAAAGACACATTTAACAATAATACCTTTCTTTTAATAGTGGTTTAGGGCTTACAAAGTGGTCCCATTGATTATTGTCTTTTATTTGAGTTGTGGCAGGAAAGGGTGGAGAGAAAATGGGCTTTGAAGTCAGAAAGACGTGGATTTACATCCCAGCTCTCATACTCCCTATGGATATTGTCATCTGCAAGCTGGGGGTATGCACACAGTACCCATGGCCCTGAATCTACCTGATGGTTGACAGATGGCTGCTGCTCATTGTTAATTTTATTATGATCATCTTTGATCCTCCCAGTATCCCTGAGAGGAGGTAAAGCAAGTATCAGCTCCCTCAAGGCAAAAGAGGAAAACTATGGGTAAGCAAAGGTGCCTGGAAACTGCCTGATTGTTTGCCCCCATAGGAGCAGCTGCAGGCGGTGTCTCAAAACAGAACAAAACAAAAGCTAAAAAACAAACCTGTGAGTTTGTAAAGCTGGCTACCATTCCTCTGTTTTCTCTTTTCTACTGTTTCCCATCCATCCTGTGAGATGTATTCCAGACCTTCCTTGCTCTGGTCACTCTCTCCTGATGGTGTTCCAGCTGGTTCCTTATGAGCTGTGCTGTTCAGAATCAAAGGCCATCTTCTCGGTGCGAATATGTTATACTAAGTATAAAAATGGGACCAAGACCTCCTTTGTTCAGACCCTTGAACTTCTCTTATTGCATTACCATTTTTTATAGTCATATCCCTCAGTTTCTGTCATGAAGACTTCAGTGAACTATAATCCTTGCCATTTTCCCTATAAATGGACCCAGAACTTGTTCTCTCCTGCCTTCTACAAGGACCAATTCCCCAACAATGGCTGACCCAGATTTAATCATAAGTTTGCAGTATATTTTCTGGGTTTTTAAATATATTTTTCCCTGATTTTTTTTAAAAAAATACTTTGTTACTGTAGGAAATTTGAGAGATACATAAAAGTATATATACAGATGGCCAAATAGGAACAGCTCCAGTCTGCAGCTTCTAGCATGATCAACACAGAAGGTGGGTGACTTCTGCATTTCCAACTGAGGTACCTGGCTCATCTCACTGGGAGTGGTTAGACAGTGGGTGCAGCCCACAGAGGGCAAGGCAAAGCAGGGTGGGGCATTACCTCACCCAGGAAGCTCAAGGGGTTGGGGAACTAACTCCTTCCCCTAGCCAAGGGAAGTTGTGAGGGACCATGCCATGAGGAACAGTGCCTTCCGGCCCAGATACTATGCTTTTCCCATGCTCTTTGCAACCTGCAGACCAGGAGATTCCCTTGGGTGCCTACACCACCAGGGCCCTGGGTTTCAACTGGGTGGCCATTTGGGAAGATACCAAGCTAGCTGCAGGAGTTTTTCTTCATACCCCTGTGGGGCCAGGAACGCCAGCATGACAGAGCCATTCACTCCCCTGGAAAGGGGGCTGAAGCCAGGGAGCCAAGTGGTCTACCTCAGTGGATCCCACCCCCATGGAGCCTAGCAAGCTTAGATCCACTGGCTTGAAATTCTTGCTGCCAGCACAGCAGTCTGAAGTCGACCTGGGACACTTGAGCTTGGTGGGAGGAGGGGCGTCCACCATTACTGAGGCTTGAGTAGGCGGTTTTCCCCTCACAGTGTAAACAAAGCCGCCAGAAAGTTCAAACTGGGCGGAGCACACTGCAGCTTTTCAAAGCCGCTGTAGCCAGACTGCCTCTCTAGATTCCTCCTCTCCCGGCAGGGCATCTCTGAAAGAAAGGCAGAAGCTCCAGTCAGGGGCTTATAGATAAAACTCCCATCTCCCTAGGACAGAGCACCTGGGGGAAGGGGCAGCTATGGGCACAGCTTCAGCAGACTTAAACGTTCCTGCCTGCTGGCTCTGAAGAGAGCAGTGGATCTCCGAGCACAGCACTCAAGCTTCGCTAAGGGACAGACTGCCTCCTCAAGTGGGTCCCTGATCCCCCATGCCTCCTGACTGGGAGACACCTCCCAGCAGGGATTGACAGACACTTGATACAGGAGAGCTCTGGCTGGCATCTGGTGGGTGCCCCTCTGGGACAAAGCTTTCAGAGGAAGGAACAGGCAGGAATTTTTGCTGTTCTGCAGCCTCTGCTGGTGATACCCAGGCATACAGTGTCTGGAGTGGACCTCAGCAAACTCTAGCAGACCTGCAGCAGAGGGGCTTGACTGTTAGAAGGAAAACTAACAAACAGAAAGGAATAGCATCAACATCACCAAAAAGGATATTCACACAGAAACCCCATCCGAAGGTCACCAACATCAAGGAAAAACCAGTGCCAAAAGGCTGAAAATTCCAAAAACTAGAATGCCTCTTCTCCTCCAAAGGATCACAACTCCTCGCCAGCAAGGGAACAAATCTGGACAGAGAATGAGTTTGACGAATTGACAGAAGTAGGCTTCAGAAGGTGGGTAATAACAAACTCCTCTGAGCTAAAGGAGCATGTTCTAACCCAATGTAAGGAAGCCAAGAACCTTGAAAAAAGGTTAGAGGAATTGCTAACTAGAATAACCAGTTTAGAGA